TCATTGAGCCAAGGAATGGCCAAGGTGATAGTCTGGCTGTGACGGAGGCACATTTGTCTGCAGTTCACGTTGACGTAACATCTGCGGACAACAACACCGACACCATTCAGCCTGTGCTGATGCCCGACAGTAGTCCTAATGAAGGCACTAACATGATTGCAACGTACAAGACGACCGGAAAGAAGGGTTCAGTGCAGGTATCAGCCATGATTGGAGATCACCATGTAGCTGGAAGTCCTGCAATGGTTACCATCGTGGATCCGCGACCGTTACAGTGTGATCCCGGCCAATGCCATTCTGATCTTGTTCTGTCAAACAACAACCGAACGGTTACTCGTGGAGCTACTGCTAGCAACTGGAGGTCAGTATGTGGCGTGAGGAAATGGAGTAGCGGCAAACACGAGATATCCCTCCGTCTTGATCGCATCATTGCCGGTAACGTTCACATGTTCTTCTTGTGTAATGCCCAGCGTCCACGACTAGACACATATCAAAATGGAAAGACCTCATTGTTTGGATGGTACGGCCACAACACCAGGGGTGGTGGTGACTGGACAGGCAGTTTACTGGGTCAGCCATGGCAAGCCGGTGACGTCATACATATGTCGTTGGATTGTGACAATCACACGTTAGTCGGACGTCATGGGCGTACCGGAGCAACGGAGACACTGACCAACGTGACAGGGGAACTCTACCTCTACATCAGCCTGTACAACAGTGGAGACCAAGTTACTATTTTGTGAAGCTTCAATCCGCTTGATCCACAAGAAGGCGGTTATGCGTGCATATAATTATATGTGCATGTACGTGTGTGTGTGCGTGTGTGCCTGTGTGTGTGTGTGTGTGTGTGTGTGTGTGTGTGTGTGTGTGTGTGTGTGGGTGCGTGCGTGCGTGCGTGTGTGTGTGCCTGTGGGTGTGGGTGTGTTTCTGTGTGTGCGCATGTATGCATGTGTGTGTGTGTGTGTTAGAGAGAGGGAGAGAGAGGAAGGCATCAGACTGCAGAGTGAGTGAGCCAGTACCCCTAATGGCCTAGCCACTCTGCCATTTGTTGTCCCCTAGCTTGCTCGCTGTCTTGCACTCTTCTAATTCATAACAATCATCATGCTATTCACTTTAGTTTCATGATTTCTTTATGTGTATAACACCCTTTTGTTTATTATCTTAGTGAACTGGTGAATGTGTTAGCTCAACTAGTCACTACATTTCCTGAATTTCCATTGATTCTGTTTCCTACTCTGCTTGTTATTGTGTTTATTTCTGCTGTGGTTGGCTCCAAAGAACTAGGGAGTCATTTTCTACGTTGCATTTATGATAATCAATGAGCTATACATGTGCATTTCAACCGACCCCTGTTGCTTTCACCACTATTGTGTTTGGTGTCTTTTTCCTCACTGACCTGCTGAAAATTTGTAAAGGAGGCAACTGCATGAGACGATGACAAGAAAGTGGGAAACGGTCTTGCATCGTCGTTGTACTAAAGGACACTGAAACAAAATTGAACTTTTAAAGAAAAGCTAAGTTAGAGATATAACACCAAGAACAACAGCAGTGAAATTGACGGTCTTGCATGTTGATTGTATAGACCAACCTCCCTCTCCGTATTGAATGGTGTAGGAGTCACCAACTAACCCACACCCCAAGGGTATGATAGATATACTGAGCTAGAAAGTGTCGGAGGGAAGGAATTTGGAAAGTAATGATGTACGCATGCTCTGGTGATCAGTACATGGTATGAGGAAATTGTGTACAGACAGACCTCTTTTATCCGGATCCCTCGCCATCCGGAAGAAAATCGCTGGTTCCTGTAAGTCTACAAATGTTCGGCCCATTCAAATTTCCGTCTCCCAAGGGCAAAATTCCATTTCAACCGCATCATATTTTCGCCCTGTACTGCTGCCGCCTGTATACACTTTCACACTAAACCTTGCAAAACAAAATTTCGGCCGCAACAAATTTTCGGCAAAACATGACCAGGCCGAAAATAGCCGAAAATAAATATGCGCCGAATATTTGTTGACTTGCAATACCGATTTACAGCATATGCCATGCACACATACAGTGTGTGTGTTCAATTATCCGGTTCACTTGCATATCCGGATATTTTTGGGAAAACGGATGTGTGCGGTTAAGCGAGGACTGACTGTATTGGCAATTATGAGATCAACTTGATGCTCTTACCGATGATCATGAGACTGCTCCATGGGAACAGGCTGTGTTCTTCTTGTGTAATGTCCAAATTTCTATGACTGTTGTCAATGTGGAAGGACAATAATTTTCCATGGGTGCACAAGTATCAATGTGAAAGATTACATTGTTTTGATGGTGTCAATACAGCAGCCACACTGGGAACTGGACAGACAGTGAGTTGGGTCAGCCATGGTGAACAGTGAAAAATCACTTCAAAAAGATAAAGATAGGTCCTCCGCAGCATGTCACAACCAAAAAGAGGTCTGCTACCAGGACGACAGGAGTACAGCTGTCATTGCCAAAAGGTCATCGAGACCGTGCTACCACTATGGTGGGACGTGACGATGCTCCAGTACGACCACATCACACAAGGCCTCCCAGCACAAGCAAAGTGGAAACGAGCGTCACAACCTTTAGCGGCTCAGACTCGTCTCCTCGAGCTGGCCGCAAGTCTGCCCCAGAGGTGGATATGTCACGTGATAGCTTCACCTTTGCGGGTCGGTCCACAAGCTCTCCATTGCTGCGTGGCAAGAGAGGATCATCACTGGCATTGTCAGTGGATGTGCTTGGCTCGCTGGAGTGGATACTGGAAAGCAGGGTCTCTGACCACTGATCTTAATCAGCAAGCTGACCTACTCAGTCTCTACAGACGGAGTAATGGTTGATGCCGGGCACACGAAGGATATGATGTGTAGGCAGGATTAACTGGTCACTGTCTGTATCGGTGGTGATCTTCAGTCTTTTTCCCATGCAGACAACTAACTTGCTCAACATTGAAGTTGGCACGTGTGTCCAGAGTGAAACATGACTCAGGGTGCTTGAATGCATGTTCTATGTCATATTATTGTTTCCTTCATGGATCAGTGCCATGCTGCATGTGTTAGGCAGCGTGTTTGCGGATCGCTAGCATTTACCCATTCTTTGCATGACACAGACATCTAAATCCCAGTGCGTTCCATCAACACTGTTGAAATACCTATTCTGACTCTGACAAAGCTGGCCCGGCAGTGTGTACTGCTTGATTGGGTTGTTTCTATTCTCATTGCTCTCACTGCATATCTATCATAAGTTATGTACTGATGTAGTTGATTCCTGAACCCACAGTATGGGTCACCAGGGTGGGTCACGGTCCGAGTGGTGTGCGCTCTCATGTTTGACTCTCTGACGTTTATATACTGCAAGTTCTTTTTATGCTGTGTGAACATTCCACTGTGGGCAAATACAGTCTAATGTCTGTGATGATACAGTACTGCTGATCTCCACTGACATAGTCCTGTTCCTCAATCATATTATTCTAAATTAACATCTTATCTGCAGTGGCACCGTGTGGACTGTATCGGTGTTGAATCGGTTGATACGTGAACAGTTCACACATTCTTTAGATCAGTAGAGCTAATATGGACTTTACTGGAGGAATTTACCACTCCGGTCTTCTACTCAGTTTGGATTTCATTTCCATTTTAAATTTTCAAATTTTCACTAGTATTTTTGCAAATGTTTACGAATTGAAGCTTGAGCCTACAACTGCAGCCTCGGAATGATCACAATTATTGTAATGTTCAGCCATAAAATAATTAATGAGTTTTGATCCAATGCTCACACTAGCAATGACACAACCAAGTCCTTTTCTGCCGTTACTCAGAGTTTCGTGTTAAATTAAGAACCACTGATCATGCAGACAGCATGGTGTGGGATATGATACTAAACTCTGAGTACCGGCAGAAAAGGACTTGGTTGTGTCATTGCTGTGTGAGCATTGACTATTGTATTACTGCCTCTGTTCACTGGACATAGAGCACAATACCGTAACAGCCTGAGGATCTTAAAATACTATCTAGGATTATACACACTGTGACAGAGGTAGTAGTAGCTTAGGTTCTACGAATGTGCTCAATACCTGATTCAGGCAGAGCGGTGTACACAAAGGCACACAATTGTCTGATAATTGGTTCAGCCATGAAACTCTGAGTCACAACGGAGTTTGCCCGAGGTTTTCATTGTGTGCCTTTGTAATAATAATACCGGTAATTGTGTCTATGACTGGAAAACCTTACACACACACACACACACACACACACACACACACACACACACACACACACACACACACACACACACAGGTTTTGCTGCAGTGGAGCTTGCGCAATGTGTCTATCACTATAATAATGAGTTTCGATCTGTGGCCGGAATTTAAAAAAAATCTACCAAATTAGCGAATATAGCGATTCTTCCTCGACTGACAGTCTGCAACAAGGTCAAACCTTCCGACTCCCTACCAGCTCGAAGTAACGACTATGTGAGTGTGTTACTCTACACACAGGTACATGTGCTTAGTGTATGTGTACCTCGTGTTCACCAAACTGATGCACTGTCAATCTTCTCCCATCTCCTGTAGAATGCACACACTACTAGTAGATCTACTATCATGCCATTGTACTTTACTTACTTTGTTGCAGCAATGTATTTGTGACCTAGTAACAAAAAGGTTCCATGCTTTGCGGACACAAAAATATGTAGCAACTAATTGTTACTTTAGCGTTTCGTTACTTTCTCCGAAGCAGTGGTAGGGTTTGAAGCGTCTCCTCTACAATATCCACTGTAGTAGGTTTGGTAGTGAGGTATCTGTGACTTTCAGCACTTTTCAATGACAATGGCGGGACCAAAGAGACCCGGCAACAATTTTTTTTTACTTTCTCACTTCCTCAGGCTCTGCAGTGTCGCCTCCCACTGTCCCAGGTAGCAGGGAAATGCTGGCCAGTTCAGTTACACAATCCTGTACTTGGTTCGCTGATGTTTGCCATCACTGGGTGACTGGGTCTGGGAACACTGAGCCGCCGCTCGTAGCCGTAGTTGAACTGAGAAGCACAATGTAGCTTGTGCTTGCTTACATGTACTGCTCGTTTTGCCGACCTGTCCGTAACAAATACCGGTAGTGGCAGGGAAGGAAATTCCACAAAGGTTGGCGAGCCGCTACGTGTAGGTAAGAAGTTGACCGAGTACTCGTAACGTTATAGTGTGTACCCGAGCTGCGAGCTGTGAGGCGAGGAGAGACTGAGTGGACTTTGTCCGACTCTTGAAGCTGCACATCATCAGCACAATGTTCGAGGTACCTATTAAAATGACATTGTATTTCTTCGTTTTCATCTGCTCAGTTTCCGGGTGCATTCACTCGCGGCAAAAGATAGGTACCAACACCAGCAACAGCAACAGCATGCCCGCAGCTGGGTCGCTGACAGTCCCAGTACTGGCAGTACAAGGACATTCACATGATTCCAGCAGATGATGCCAGAATATTTCTGCAGCGCATATCCAGGATATCACCTCGGCTAGCGCAAGCCTTGTTGGCTAAGTCAGTATGCACGGCTGGGTTCCACAGCACTACATTCAGTGGGTTGAAGGACTGGAGTCCAGCCATCCACACAACACTCCATGCCAAGCTCAAGGTGAGCACTGCTTGTAGTCACTTTGTTTTCTTGTGTTTTGATGCAAACCGTGCTTGGATGAGATTTACCTATCCATGATTTTTTTCGACTAATGCAAGTCCTGTGTGTTGTGTGCACTCACATTCTGTACAGTGCTGCTCACTGAAATCCAGTCGTGAGAGTCAAGTGGGCGCCGTACACCTTTTCGCAGCCCAGTGTTCGCAGGTCTAGGGCTGTGCAATGCCCGGCGCGTACTTGAGAAACTTGACTGGATGTCATTGAGCAGTCCTGTAGTTAGAGCATTGAAAGCATAATTATAATCATGTAGTTTCCATGTTTTGTATGCTAGTGAGACTAACGGTATGACTGTTATGATGGGAGTGTGTGTGTGGGGGGGGGGGGGGATCATTGTGAGGATGTGATTCTGGGCTGCAAACACGTAGAAGACAGAATATGGGTTCCCATATGTCACGTGATTGTTGTCTTGGAGTCGTCCAAAGACAGATCAAAATACGTGGGCTGGAAAGCGTGATAGCATACACAGGACCATGTACACAGAAACCTGTCCAAGACGACCACTCAAGGGACCTTCAAAATGTGGTCTCTGTTACCAGGCGGTCTCTTTGTCCATTATCATTTGACTGGCAATAGCATCCCTTGTGTCCTGGTTGCAGTGGTCTTCTAGGACAGGTGGTCGCCTTATCTCTGAGTGGTCGCCTTGACAGGTTTTGCTGTACATCACTGATAGTGTCCAGAATGACAACAAAGAAGTACTAGTACTACTAGTGCACTGCTCACTATCTACTGACATGACATGTGACAAACTGTTTAGTGATGTGCATGCCCCAGAGGCCGGAGCAGAATCGGTCTGGCCTACATGTAGTCCCCGTTGTCTGTAGTGTTGTAGTGTGCGCGGCTTCTATCAAGTCAGGCCACTGTCTGTATACAGACGCATACAGACTAGTTCGCTTTTGCCTAGCTAATAATAATAATAATAATAATGACAGTACGAAGTAGTGGTTGCGACTTCGGCGATGATTTGTAAGAAAGGTTTGCTCCCCACACCGGAGCTCGCGCTATTCCGCCGACTTTACTTGACACTTGACTGACTCACGACTGCCATCCAGAGCACACGAGAAGTCCATCGAACCTTCGACTCGGCAAACCTGCAAGAAAGCACCACTCCCTGCTCAATACACAGTGTTTCGGGGAATTCACCCCTCATCAGTTGAGCTTGAGTAGGCTGAGGAAGATTGTGCCTGAAGAGCACCACTTATATAGTGCTCTCCAGGCACAAACATCACCAGGGATACAAACTTACAGAGACGCTCCGCTTCCAGCGCGACAAACACCTCGTGAACACGGTGTGGGGAGCAAACCTTTCTTACAAATCATCGCCGAAGTCGCAACCACTACTTCGTACTGTTGTGCCCAGCGCGGGCTTGCGACTAGTTGGTTTGGAGGTGACAGCGTTGCGAATGACCGAGGGTCCTCGACGTCTGTCTCACCGTCCAGGAGCGACACTGACTCACGCTACTATCTGAGGTCTCGGCTTCATAGGTGCGTCCATGGAGCTATGAAGCCGAGACCTCTGGTCGGCGGAGCTTAATGGGCCCCACCACCACACTCCATCATTCACCCCAGTGTCTGGAGATATGTGGATTTTGTAGAAAAAAAAGAAAAAAAAATATCCATAATTCGTCACGGTTCTTTGTTTTCAGTACAACATTGTTGAGAAGTTCGTAGAAGTTGTCAGCTTCCTGAGGGTTGATGGTGGATCGTTGAAGAGTTGGGGCATAGCAGCACACGACCGTGACAGCTCGACTGTCAGGTCGCGGGCTGAGTACCATTCGTACAGATACAACTCGGTCAGAGTGGAACTGGTACGACAGAACATTATTTGAAAATTTCTTGTTGACGAGGATGGCAACGCCAGCGCGCGACGATTGACCTCCGGACCTATACAGCTTGTGGCCATCGCCGAGGGTATCAACTCCATTGTCGGCTATCCAGGTCTCCGTAATCCCAAGGATGTCGAGCTTGTAGGCCTCGAAATCTTCAGCGAGATTTTGTTTTTTGATTTTTGATTTTAGTGAACGGACGTTGAAAGTCGCAACTCTACATGACGGCGTACGACGACGCTTCTGGAATATTGACTCAACTACTTCATTATGACCTCTCATCTAATCACTGCCAGTATGCGTGGCTCCAAATTGTCCTAGGGAACAGCTACTCCTGCCAAAAAGCAGGAGCTGACGGTAGTTCAAACCGCCATCAAAAAATCTAGCTAAGCTGACGGTAAAACATTTGTGGATGAATTAAAAATCATTTTTGCCCAGTAAATCGAATAGGCTTGGTGTAGTGCCGTACTGGTATGTACAGTGACTTTGTCTTTGAGTTTCCAGTGTTCTGTGTTGGTGTATCTACTGGTCAGATTGAATTTGAAGTCAGGTTGTGGCGTGTGTGTATGTGTGCAGCTGTATTGATTCGCCATGTCCAGACCAGAGTGTGTATCATGCAGAAGTAGTAGTAAGCATGGCAAGCTGCTGAAGTGTCTCCACTCGTTGTGTGTGGAGTGTTTGGAAAAATACATCAGTGGCAAGGGCTCTGTGGGATGTCCTGAATGTGGAACAGTTACTCCAGCATCGACTACTGGTGTGCCCTTGCTGCAGTACCTGCCAGACAGTGATGTGTCTAGTGATGGGGTTGGAGAGGAGGTGGCTGCTGCAAGTGCTGGCCGTAAGAAGTTGTGTGATGAATGTGCTGAGGATACTGCAGCAGTAGCTGTTTGCAATGACTGTGGGGACAATTTCTGCACTGACCATGCCAGGGTGCACCCAACCTCACGCAGATCATTCAAACACAAGGTTGTGCCACTCAGTGAGGCTGCGGGTCATACAGGTGATAGAACATCAGCCAGCCAGCACAAATGCTCATTCCACCCCTCGTTTGTACAGTGTTCGTATTGCTTGAGTTGTGAGCAGCTAGTGTGTAAGCAATGTGTAAGCAGTGGTGATCATGCTGCTCACAATGTGCAGACTATCACTGATGCATCGTCTAGCATTAGCCAGTCCTTGAAATCCAAGCTGACTAGCACATCACTTGGAAGTGGCAGTGTTTTTGATGAGTCGATCAAAAAGTCTGAAGCGGCACTGGGTGGACTCCGTGATGAGACTGAAGGCTTGTCCTCCCGGATCAACGACGTTTTTGGTGGTCTGAAGAAAGCCATTGAAAACCGTCAACAAGAGCTTCTGGATGATGTGGATCGACTGCAGTTGTCACATCTTCTTCCCCTTGAAGAGCAGAAGCGGCAGATTCTTGCTGGTGCCTCGTATAGCAAGAAAGTTCAACATCTGGCAGAGAACTGCAATGAGGATTTCAATTTCTTGAAGATGAGTGGATGGCTGGAGAAAGCAGCGAAGAATGCTGTGAGTGTGTCCGAGAGAGATGTGAAGGGGTTTGCTGTGGGAACTCTATTTTTTTCGCCATACCACGTCGAGGAACTGACTGCGGCCATTGCCAGAACTGGTGTGGTGAGTGACATTGGTATTCTGTCATCGGAGAAGAGTAGCATGACTACTGCAGCCAGTGTTGAGGAGGGAGACGACCTTACCGTGATCATTGAGCCAAGGAATGGCCACGGTGATAGTCTGGCTGTGACGGAGGCACATTTGTCTGGTGTTCACGTTGAAGTAATATCTACGGACAACGCAATCGACACCATTCATCCTGTGCTGATGCCCGACAGAAGTCCTAATGAAGGCACTAACATTATTGCAACTTACAAGACGACCGGAAAGAAGGGTTCAGTGCAGGTATCAGCCATGATTGGAGATCACCATGTAGCTGGAAGTCCTGCAATGGTTACCATCGTGGATCCTCTTTGGTTTGATCCCAGCCAATGCCATGCTCATCTTGCACTGTCGAACAACAACCGTACGGTTACTCGTGGAGGTAGTTCTAACGGGAACTGGAGGTCAGTATGTGGCGTGAGGAAATGGAGTAGCGGCAAACACGAGATATCCCTCCGTCTTGATCGCATCACTGCTAGTAACGTTTGCCACCTGTTCCTCTTGTGTAATGCCCAGCCTCCACCACTAGAAGGTTGGCCAACAGGAAAGACCACATCGTTTGGATGGTACAGCAACAGCACCGGTGGTAGTGATGACTGGACAGGCAGTGCACTGGGTCAGCCATGGCAAGCCGGTGACGTCATTCATATGTCGTTGGATTGTGACAATCACACGTTAGTCGGTCGTCATGAGTGTACCGGAGCAACGGAGACACTGACTAACGTGACAGGTGAACTCTACCTCTACATTAGCCTAGCTCTCAACGGAGACCAAGTTAATATTTTGTAAATCACCAATCCTCTCGACTTTCAAGAACACAGTGATGTGTATGCATGCCTGCATGCCGGAACCGATCCAGTTGGTCAGGTTGTAACCAGACCAACCTTTTGGCCACCAACACATGCCTTACTGCTGAGGAGGTTATCTGTGCACGGCGTATCTTACACGAAGTATGAAAGGCCTCCGTATAGCCGGACCTATTAAAAACCTTTTCACGGCGGTCCTGGTGTTTATATTTGTTTTCGTCACATGCATGTCTGTATATACATGTAAACATGTATAAGAAAGGAGATTAGTCATGTATTGCTGTTCCTTTTCCATTTTTGTTGTGCATGTTGAATGCCTGCATCTTTTGTTTTTATCAAGCACTCAGCCAGGAGTCTGCAACCCGATTATCAGTTCCCAAAATTTGTAACATTTCCATCAATTCCATTGTGTAATGTGTTGCACTGTCCCTGTATGCAGGAGTATTTCATGTATTTTCATTTTTTTGTTTCCTACTCTGTTTGTTTCTGTGTCTATTTCTCCTGCAGTTGGCTCCAAAGGGAGCCATTTTCTATGTATGATAGTCAATGAGCTATACATAACTGACTACTGTTGCTCTCACCACTGTGTATGGGGGTTTCCCCTACTAGTGTGTGCACTGACAGTTGCTTTCACCACTATTGTGGGTTTGGTGTTTTTTCCTTACTGGATTGTGCACTGACCTGATGACAAACTGGAATTGAGACAACTGCATGAGACGATGAAAAGAAAGAACGAAACGACCCAGCATGCTGATTGTGTAGACCAACCTCCCTCCCCGGACTGAATTGTGTAGACCAACCCGTCCTTCCTCCCCTGACTGACCCGGACTGGCTGGTGTAGGAGTTAACAGTCAGCCCGTACACCCAGGGGTATACCGGTAGTATATACATGAAACTAGCGGAGGGAAGGATTTCGGATGTTAATGATGCACACATGCTCTGGTCACCAGTACAATCATGGTACAGTCTGTATCGGCTATAGAGTGACCGGATATAAGAATATATCGGCTACAGTGATATTAGGAAATTAGAGGCCACATGCCACGTACTGCTCAGTCATATTGGTATGAAATATCAAAAGCAAAACGTATTTTATCCAATAAAAATATCACTATAACCAATATTATCGGATGTAATGATATATCGGATATTATGATGGCAACAAAGAATCAAAACATGCCTAACACACTATATTATTATCGGCTATAATGATAACTTTAAAATACATGAAGCAATAACATCAAAGGCCCTATTTTTTTTACTTTCTTCACGTTGCCTATTTTTATAGTGATACATGTACATAACAGAATTTTGTTATGGAAATGCGGGCACTGTCAACTATGCAGTATGCTCATTTGTCAAAACGCCATGCTGGAAGTATTTCCTTGCCTTTCATGTGTCGATCGAAAAAGAAGAAAAAATCGATCGTATCGCATATAGTGATTGAAATGGAACTGTACCTGTAACTATCACACCTAACTGTGCATGTGTGTCGACCTTCATGCAATATCTTGTTCTCTTGTCATGATGCATGTAACACTGTTGTTCCAGCTAGTTCCGCTAGTGTTGTCCGTGCTAGCGCTTTGTTCTCCTGGCGCCCGCGGCCCGATCATGTATCAAGGCAGCGCAGTGCATGCAGTGATTGTGGTGTTCGCGCGTGTGGAGCTGGTGCGTGACACGTGCTGGTCATTTTGATACTCCGCCATATTTTCTCCTTTGGACTTGGTCCTTCGTTTGGGGACCGGGTCTTCTTTCTTCTTTGCACTCGACTTTAGTCTTAGTTTTGTTGCTCTCTCAAAATACAATGTGAACCATTACTCTCTGGCTCTCTGGCTTGTCGCGTGTGTCCGTCGGAGGGAGTGATTAGTTTACAACGTGGTGCCGAAACCCGGGATTGAACTAGGGCCGTCGTGAGTTGCGACTGCGGAGTTCAGGATGTCGAGTCTGAAAGTCGACGGTTTTGTCAAGGCCTTTCGGGGCAAGAGCAATGAGAGCTGGCAACAGTTTTGGGCAAAGTTCCTCGTTCTTGCGGAGATCCAGGGCTGGGATGATGAGGCTAAGCGCATGAAGCATTTCCCTCTGTTTCTTGCGGATGACGCGTTCCTGGCATTTCAGGGAATGGCGGGTGCGGACCGAAAGAAGCAGGACGAGGTGGTCAAATTGATGCTATCGTCCTTCAGTATGACGAAGTCTGCCGCGTACGAGGCGTTTGTGGTGCGGAAAATGAAGTGCGACGAGTCCACTGATGCATTTGTTGCAGATCTGAAGCGCCTCGCGGAGTTATCCGGTCACAAAGTGACAGACGACAAAGATCCTGTGGTGGTGCAGCAGTTGTTGAAAGGCCTCCCTACCGACTACAACCGGCAAGTACGGCTCAGTCTCGTGGGAAAGGACATGTCGATAAGCGACTGTGTGTCTATTGTTCGAGCTCTGAGAATTTCAGATGCCAGCGGAGGTGACAGTGTGTCAGCTGCCGCCTCGTCGGGTGGTGCAGCGACCAGGAGTGGTCCTACCAGTACCAAGTCACACTCACAGGCTGGATCTAGCGCGAAGCCCTCGGGCCTCTGTTTCAAGTGTGGCGAGCCTGGGCACATCCGCAGGAATTGTCCCAGCAGAAGAGCAGGCGGAGGTGGAAGGAGCCAGCCGATTACCTGTTTGTTCTGCGACGGTGCTGGCCATGTAAAGGCTGACTGCCCTGAGAGGAGAGATTGGCTGGCAAGGAAGGACAGGACTGCAGCTGCCGTGGAAAGTGCTCGCCCACAACCAGCTGTGCAGGAGAACGACCCATGCCTAGTCTCCCTGGCCTCTCCTGGAAAGCTGCCTCGTATGTACGTGGATGTGTCTGCCGGAGCGGCGAAATCGAGTGTTCGTGCGCCGGCTGTCGTAGACACCGGTTCAACTCGTACGCTCATCTCGCAGTCCTTCGCCACTCAGCATGGCATCAGTCTTTCACCCACGGCTGCTCCACCCATACTTGCCAGTTCTCCTTTGGACTTGGTCCTTCGTTTGGGGACCGGGTCTTCTTTCTTCTTTGCACTCGACTTTAGTCTTAGTTTTGTTGCTCTCTCAAAATACAATGTGAACCATTACTCTGGCTCTCTGGCTTGTCGCGTGTGTCCGTCGGAGGGAGTGATTAGTTTACATGATGCATCGGTTATAGTGAAAAAATCACAGAGATCAAAAGGGTACGCTATAGCCGATACAGACTGCATGAGGAAAATGGTATAGTGGCAAATATGACATCACCTTGATGGTATCACCGCTGATAGATTTCTCCATAGGAACATGGTGTGTTCTTCTTGTGTAATGTCCAAATTTCTATGACTGGACATGTGTCAATGTGGAAAGATAACATTGTTTTCATGGTATGGCTACAGCAACCACACTGGTAGCTGGACAGGCAGTGAACTGGGTCAGCAGTGGTAAACACTGAAAACCACACTAAGAGTGGTGTACAGAAGCCTAAGAGTACCGATCAATTCTTGAGCCTTGCAAGCTGTTGAATGGTGTAATCCCAGCAGAGGCTATTTTGGCTTCTGCTGCGGCTTCACCATCGTCTAAGGTCTAGTGTGTTTATGTGTGCGTATGTACGTGCGTGTGTGTGTGGGGAGAGGGGGGGGGGGGGGTGTACAAGTGTATGTGCGTGCGTGCGTGTGCGTGTGTGTGTGGGAGGGGGGGGGGGGGGTACATGACATTGTGTATGTATGTGCCAATGGTATATGAGTATGTGTGAATGCATGTGTTTGTGCTGTATCTGTGTGTGGTTCTGTTCTTGCAGTTGTACCAAGCTAAGTGCAGCATAGTGGAGATGGTGATGTGCAATGCAGTTGTATGGGCTGTGGATCGCAGGCAGCCAATTGTCCTTGCTCTCTCACCACAACACCATAACATGCTGGGAATCGTGGATTGTCGCAACGATGCACCTCTCCTGTACCACACCAAACTTCTCACGCAGCCTGACAGCAGTGGAAAGATAGGTCCTCCACAGCATGTCCCAACCAAAAAGAGGTCTGCTACCAGGACGACAGGAGTCCAGCTGTCATTGCCAGAAGGTCATCGAGCCCGTGCTACCACTATGGTGGGACGTGACGATGCTCCAGTACGACCACATCTCACAAGGCCACACAGCACAAGCAAAGTGGAAACGAGCGTCACAACCTTTAGCGGCTCAGACTCGTCTCCTCGAGCTGGCCGGAAGTCTGCCCCAGAGGTGGATATGTCACTTGATAGCTTCACCTTTGCGGGTCGGTCCACAAGTTCTCCATTGCTGCAGGGCAAGATGGATGTGATGAAGGAGATCAACTCCGACGACGAAGAATGCAATAAAGTCAACAGCAATGGTGGCGGTGCCCTGCGGGACAAACAACGCAGCAGAACGATGTATGATGGTGAAGCCACTGGATCACCAGCACAACGTGAGTTCTGTCTTGAAGGTAGCTTGTACTACTTAGCACAGTCCTGCACATCCATCTTAGCCTTTGACAATGCTCTGTGGGTGGCCAGGTCCTGTGCGGATATTCTAATCATCAGCAGTGATCTAAGACAGGGTTGTCCGTTCCTGGGACAGCTGTCGTGCTCACTACATCGTGACGTGAATGTCTCCGCTCTTGGCAGTCAGCACAGACTTGCACTGTGCTCTGATCAGTATGCCATGAGTCAACTACAGCTGCTGCGCTCCGACAAGACCAGGCCACCAGGGACAATCGTGTGGTGGTGTGGGCGGCATGTGAGCAGGAAACACTGCACCAGCACAACAGACACTGTCGTTATCTGGACCGCTGCTCGCAGTGTGCCATGAACTAACCACCGTGACAAACTCGACGGACATTGGACTCACCACCGCCTCTTCATCCTGCCCAGTGCATCTATCATTGTTGCAAGTACCGTGTGTGCATGTTACACGGGGCTCACTGTGAACCATATACGGTCGTGTAAGATTCTGGTTCACTAGTAAAGCTTACGTGAAAATCATGCTAAGCTGTTGAACTGGTGAGGTATAGCTGCCCAGAGTGGATACTGGCATCGTCAGTGGATGTTCTTGGCTGTCTGGAGTGGATACTGGCATCGTCAGTGGATGTTCTTGGCTGTCTGGAGTGGACACTGGCATTGTCAGTGGATGTGCTTGGATGGCTGGAGTGGATACTGGCATTGACCGTGGATGTGTTTGGATGTCTGGAGTGGATACTGGCAAGCTGGGTCTTTGCGGACCACTGATCTAAATCAGCAAGCTGACCTACTCAGTCTCTACAAGCAGAGTAATGGCTGATGCAGGGCGCATGAAGGATATGATATGTAGGCAGGACTAACTGTTCACTGTCTGTATCGGTGGTGGTTTTCAGTGTGTTTTCCCATGCAGGCTACTATTATAAACCTGCTCAACATTGTTATAAGGCCGCACGTTTTTATTTCTATGTTTCTCGTCACCTGAACATCTAAAAACGTATGCGAGAGGTGGAAAAAAATAAAAATGGCCGAAGAATAAAAAAAGTTTATTAGACCTTTGTTCACACTAAAATCCACCAATACAAAATGCAAAATAGCATCCATACTCAGACCATAGTTAGCAACTAGTATGTGATAGGAGCTTCTGTCACAATCTGTGCATGTGCAGCTAGATTGCGCACAACAAATGCCGACCTCGCATCATGTGTCGCACAGGCCAGGCCACATTATGAACATGTGCATGAGTGTGCTGGTCCCCACATGCACAGTCAGCAGTGCAGCACAGTTTTTTTTTCTTTTTTCTTCCAGACTCCTGAATCGTATGCGCGCGGGTGACGAGAAACATAGAAATAAAAACGTGTGGCCTAATGTGCTCTCATGTTTGACTGCGTGACGTTTGTAATGCATGGTCTCTTTGTGCTGTGTGAACATTCCACTGTGAGCAAACGCAGTTTAATGTCTGTGATGATACAGCACTGCTGATCTCCAACCTAGCCTTGTTCCTTTTTAACAGATTATTCTTATCTGCACTAGCACTGTGTCACGAGTGTGTGGACTGTATCAGTGTTGAATCGGTTGATAGGTGAATAGTTAACACATTCTTTAGATCAGTAGAGCTAATATTATGGACTTTACTTGAGGAATGTACCACTCCGTTCTTCTACTCCAATGATTTGGGATTTCATTTCAATTATAAATTTTCAAATTTTCACTGTACATTTATTTTTGCAAATGTTTACGAATTAAGAGTAACTCTCCATCACTGTAACATGATACTATACAGTCAGAAAGTGCAATAACTAGGCACAAAACTGACAGAGTACTGAAACATTCGACGTCCTGACACCCAGCTTCAACACATCTCCGTAGCGCTAACCGACAGCCTTCCAACTTGGAAGGTTCAAGGTTTATTTATGGCTCAACATCCGAGTTTCAAATTGCACACCTGATGAGCCGTCACGAACCATACGGCGAAACGTACGTCGTGTGAAACAACTTGTTTTGTAGTCAACTAGTCCATCACATTATCATGCATGAGGAGTACTGTAGGAGTTTGGCTTTCGGCTTGTACAATTCGTTTTCGCAAAGCTTCCCTTTCTTTACTTATCTTTGATATTTATGACCCACCCAAGTTGGGTGGTGTGCTGCTTTGCTGCTTCGAATTGTTGTTAGACCGCTTTGTCAAATATCGTACTGGTCTCGTCATCGTCCAGTAACAATCGACATTCTTTGTTCCGTTGGGACTGTAGCTTTTGCTCGTTTTCGTTGCGCTTGCCTTCCCCTCTTTGGTCTTTTCCATAACCTTGAACCTTCCAAGTTGGAAGGCTGTCGGTTAGCGCTACGGAGATGTGTTGAAGCTGGGTGTCAGGACGTCGAATGTTTCAGTACTCTGTCAGTTTTGTGCCTAGTTATTGCACTTTCTGACTGTATATAGTATCATGTTACAGTGATGGAGAGTTACTCTTAACTCGTATCCATATGTCTTTTCTCTTCCACATTTATTTATGGCTCAACATCCGAGTTTCAAATAATAATAATAATAATTCAAAGGATCAGTCGGGGAAGTGAACTGCCTGAAAAGAGAGAAAAAAACGCCAGACCCACCAGGACTCGAACCTGGGACCCTGCTTGTCATGAGCAATGCTCTAACCACTGAGCTATGGGACCAGGCTGAACCTAGAAGGCGCTGACAAGTTTTTCACTCCAAAGGCAGCTCACAACACGTGCCACACATACTGATGGCACTTGGGTCTTTTTCCCTCCCAAACTTGTCAGCGCCTTCTAGGTTCAGCCTGGTCCCATAGCTCAGTGGTTAGAGCATTGCTCATGACAAGCAGGGTCCCAGGTTCGAGTCCTGGTGGGTCTGGCGTTTTTTTTCTCTTTTCAGGCAGTTCACTTCCCCGACTGATCCTTTGAATTTGAAGTTCTCCCAATCCTTTCCAAATAATAATAATAATAATAATGGACTCAGATGGAGAGCCAGGGTTTAATTTCTACAAAGAGAAAGACCAAGGAACTACAAGTTACGCTATATTGTCCACTAACACCACCAGCTACTAACTTGTGACAATCAGCTCATGCGATAACATTGCACGACACTGACCGACGGTACTGACGTTCTCCAACTAACTGGCTAACAGCTCTAGCACATCTTGGATGCGCACTCCAACAGCCTTCCAACTTGTAATGTTATTTCTATAACTTAGTTATAGAAATAACATAAGGAGGGGAAGGACTTAGGTGAGCGCAACCAAGATAAGCACGAGCTGAAAGTCTCAGCTGTGAAGGACGTTGGCGGATGTTCATGCATCTCGATGACGATACTGGCAAGACCATTGGACAATACGGTCAAATCACGATTCAGGAACGCAAAGCCACATTCCACACAACTTGTGTGGCTCAAAAGATGCGAAGATCAATAAAAGGGGAAGCTATGCGAACAAGATTCACGAAAAACCGAACGTCTCAGTAAAACAGCACTGTACTTCGACTATGACTTATTTAGATGGACAATAAGCAGCGGTAACAAGCAGCAGTTTCACACGAGGATCGCTTCCAAGTTGGAAGGCTGTTGGAGTGCGCATCCAAGATGTGCTAGAGCTATTAGCCAGTTGGTTGTAGAACGTCAGTACCGTCGGTCAGTGTCGTGCAATGTTATCGCATGAGCTGATTGTTTAGTAACTGGTGGTGTTAATGGACAGTATAGCGTAACTTGTAGTTTCTTTGTATTTCTCTTTGTATAAATAATAATAATAATGGGTTTGCTCCCACACTGGAGCTCGCGCTATTCCGCCGGCGACTCGACACTTGCCTGACTCACGACTGCCATCCAGAGAACACGAGAAGTCCATCGAACCTTCGACTCGGCAAACCTGCAAGAAAGCACCATTCCCTGCTCAATACACAGTGTTTCGGGGAATTCACCCCTCATCAGTTGAGCTTGAGTAGGCTGAGGAAGATTGTGCCGGAAGAGCACCACTTATATTGCTGTCCAGGCACAAACCAAACTAAACCCATTCTTAAACAAAATATCGCCGAAGTCGCAACCTCTACTTAATAATAATATTATTAATAATTTATACAAAGAGAAAGACCAAGGAACTACAAGGTACGCTGTCCACTAACACCACCAGTTACTAAACAATCAGCTCATGCGATAACACTGCACGACACTGTCCGACGGTACTGACGTTCTACAACTAACTGGCTAACAGCTCTAGCACATCTTGGATGCACACTCCAACAGCCTTCCAACGTGTTAGGTGTTAGCGGACAGTATAGCGTAACTTGTAGTTCCTTGGTCTTTCTCTTTGTATAAATTAAACCTTGGCTCTCCATCTGAGTCCAACAATGATAATAATAATGTAAGGAGAAAATTGGAGGCGTATCCAATTTCGAAAGAAAAGGTGTCAGGACCGACGCATCCACACAGTCAAGTAAGCCAATTTTGTAACCGAACGTTTTCGTTCCCTTCTCATCATGGGTAAGTACAGGGAAAAATGTCAAAATACAGCAACTTATAGAGCTACAGCAAAAGCATAGATCGAAAACCTCACGCTATACGCGTGGGAAAAAATAAAATTCAGCAGAACTTGTCAAAACCAGGGTGAAGGTGAAGAAATGACTAAAACACAATGAAAACATCAGCGAGGAGAACCATTCCTTACACTTTCTCGAGGATTAGCGCCAAACGACTGAAGTGACAACACATTTTCCTTCTGAACACATAGTTCAGGGGACAACTTACGAATATATAACGCTTCCAAAACAGACAAATGTTATACAGATCTGCCACGGGCCAAAACTGAGAAAACATCATCTCTGTACAACTCACGACAACTATCACTAACCAACAGATGACTCTTGATAGCCAATAACTGATTTTTAGAATGTCGCATCTTTTTCGTCACCTCCAATGTCGCAGCTCTTGACCCGTCGGCAAGGAAAAGAGGTGCAGAGCTGGTGAAACTACACAGAAGAAGACAATGCCAGGGACACCTACTCGAAGAGTCACTCGCAGCCAGGTTCGGATGCGTACTGGAGGAGACGAGCAGGTGGCAATACTGGAAGTGACAACGAACGTAAGTGGGAGAAGGCGTGGAAGACCACCACGAAAGCCATTGATCAAGACAACGGAAGAATCAGACACCGGAAGAGTGACCAGGCGGTGTGTTGGAAGGGACGAGTCAGGACCTGCGGCATCGGAAGTGACTTCAAGGCGACTGCCCAGTGGAAAAGACGGGTCAAGAGCTGCGACAAAAAAGGCGCAAAAAGAGTTACAAATAATAATTGTACATAACTCCTAGATCCTATGCCTAGGCTCTGGCTTGGCCGACGTCAAGACAGCAAATCTACATACAGAACTGTGCCCACACCAGCCATACATGTACACTGCGCTAATATCACACTGCTATAATTATGTCGTCTAGAATAGCCTCCTGCCTACAACATCCACACACACATTCAAAATGATTGCTCACCACCTCCTGCCCACACCAGCCACACATTCTGCGCTAACATTGCACTGGTAGCACCTGCCTTCAACAACCACACACTCTGCACACAGCCTCCTGCCTAAGATAACACCGCTACTACGCTAGCCCCCACATTCTCACAGTTTTTTCATACCTTCTCCCGGCATAATAATATTATGATTAATAATTATTATACTGCATGGCATGGTCGGCACCCAACCTTCATGTTGCCTGATTATTGCGAGAGCATGAAACTTCAAGCCGCAGCAAACTATCAGTAGCCTTGATTGTCCTTGTTCTTCTGTACAGGACTGACTGTCTGGAGTCGTGTATTGAGTCTGTGTTGAGTAGGTTCTCGCGTGTTCTGCTTCGTGGAAGCGCTATAAGTATCTAGCTTCCTGGAAATGTGATGCCAGGCTTTGTGCAAAAGCAGGCCGCTACTGCACTACATGTAAATGATGTAGGGACTAACTAGTCGTAGTAGTCCTTCCTACATGCTTCCATGACACCTGCCTGCTGGCCTCAGGCGCTTTGTCACGGTAACCAGGTAACGAACTTAGACTAGCAAGCACATAATTATGTAAGAGCGAGCACAAAGTCAGTCGTTGCTCTGCATTGGGGTGTCGCAGAAACGAAAAATAATGAGAACCTGGCTCTCCGCCTCCCTTCCCCTTTTCGCATTTCCCTTGCCTATCCCTTGTTTTTGCTGTTTTCGTCGTACCTTTATTCCAAAGTCGCATCACTAACAGGCGTCTATGCTTCCTGAGATTTATACTGCTAGCAGCATTATTATGAGGAAAAAGGAATGGAACGATTGTTGAGTAGCAGAGGATGCTATGGTGATACATTTACGTAAATTACGTCAAAGTACTGTAAGTCTGGCCTTACACTTCGAGCAGACCAGAGTACGTGGAAAACATAGCGATGGGTGAACCTGATAGCCACGGAAGTAAGTCAGTTGCTACTGGATGCAGGCTAGTCAAAGTGATGAACGAATAATGAATAAACATTTTAACTCTCTGTAGCACATGCAACTGTAAATCAGATCTCTATCTTTCACTGCTCAGAAGTGCTAAAATTGGTGCAAAATGGAGAGTAAAAGAGAGGGTGCAGGTACCACAGTCAGGGGAGAGGGGGGGGGAGGGTGCAAGCACAACAGACTAAATATCACCTGTAGTACTAGGATAGAGTTTGTCCCCAAATGTTTCCACATGAACAAGTTGCTGCTGCTACCAAACTTCAGTATCATCACGTGATGCAGCACCTAAGTTAGTGGCAATAGTGAGCCTGTTCTGGCACTCCCTGGCTGTGTTGCCAGCGCCTCCTACATTACCATCCATTTTACACAAATTGTATCACCTTTGAGCAACACCATGCCCAGTGGGCCAGCAAATGCATTTCACAAACTAGCACCGATCCCCCTCCGCCTAAGTTCTCACCTACCTGTTCACGCTTAGTAACATGCGGCTTTGGCCTAGCGCCATCCTGGACTATGTTACCGTATAAAAGGGGGTACTGCAGGCATTTCCTGTATCATTTTAGTCACCTTGTGATTGCCAGCTGGGCATGAAATTCCTAGTTGTGATGATGTCGTGTCATCCTTCATTGCAAGGACCTATGTGATTTTTGTTATATCTGATAATAGTGATACGGTAAGTGTTGCCTAAATACCCGCTAGTTGGCACCGTTTTAATGTGTGCTCCAGTTCTCTATGTGCATGGTGAATTTGTTCTGAAAATATTCTTATCCTGGTATTAACCTCTCGCAAAAGATGTGCATGATGAATGCGCAACTTGCTTCATTTATTGTGTTGAATCCTGTTATTGGTGATCTCTCCGTTCCTTGTAGAGACCACCGGTGCGGTCTGGTGGTCTGCCAGCACGGTCGCAAGCATCACCTGAATCCCAGGAGCAACCCCAGGAGCAGCCACAGCTAGCACACCAGCAACACCATCAGCAGCAACAGCCTTCGTGGACAAGCATGGACTGCAGCAAAGCACCAGTGAGTTTTGTAGAAAGAAGGACCCACGGGATGGGTGTGTGTGATCTCCGGTAGCCTAAGGGCCCGGTAACACATGCACTTCACTTCACTTCACTTCGGCATCAAGGTTTTGCGACAGCGAGCCTGGTGTCGCTCCAGCGAAACCACGTGTGTATGGTCACACATACAAATAGGGCAAACTCCTACTTTGGCGGAAAATGAGAGTAAAGTGGATTGTGGTGCATACGGCACGGAGAATAGACAAGGTCAATGACTATCTTGCACGCATTTTTGTTGCATGGACATACGCATACAAATTTCTTGTATCAAGTCTATATACAGCAGACCGTGGTCTTTTCCGCTGAAGCGAAACCGCAGAAGCGACAGTTTCGCTCCGAAAATTTTGGAGGAAGCGGATTGGAGTTTCCGCTGAAGCGGAAGTTCCGCTTTTCGCTGTTACCATGGTATTTTTCGCTCCTGTGATGTCGCTTCAGGAGATCCGCTACTTTCGAGTGCATGTGTAACCGGGTCCTAATTGGTAAGGCACTGTCCTGGAAAGAGAGGGGTGCTGGGTTCGAATCCTGCTCGTGGATCCTTCTTTTGCAACAGTTTGAACAGTCCAATGCTGGAGCAAGATTGTTTGTTGAACTGACAAGGACTCATCTAGACTGTAGCTTAAGGAATTTCCCGGAACGTGTATGACCCTTGAGTCTCTTTTGATATTAGGGTACCTGAACTCAAACACAATATTCACCAAATTTTCGGGCATGGCGGATTATCAGGGTGAACACAGTTTTTGACTTCAGTATAACTAGCCATGCTTCTTCCAGAAATATTACTGTGGATGACTTTTCATTGCTTGATTTTTTTAATGTGAATACTATCAAGGTCGAAAGAGATTCAAGGGGGTACACGTTCAGGGAAATTCCCTAAGCTACACTCTAGATGAGTCCTTGTCAGTTCAACAAACAACTTTGATCCAGCACTGGATTGTTCAAACTATTGCAAAAGAAGGATCCACAAACGGGATTCGAACCCAGCATCCCCGTCTCGACAGGACCGTACAGAATAGGTGCTATGTGCATATGAACAGATCTTGCATTGATTCCGTCTCAGTTAGCGTTAGAGGACTTGGATGGATGTGCTGGTTGGATTGAGCAGAATCTGTAGAAATCATTATTTTCCAATGCAGACTTTAGCTAGGCATGTTGGCGTGTTTGAAATACTGGGCTACAGTAGCAGCACTCTTGTGCAAGTGGAAATCATTTCCCTTTTCGGGGTTTCTGAATCACTGTGCTCTTTTGCCGTGTCAGTGACGAGAGCTGGCAATGTATATCGTATTGTTTTGTGATATTCCTGATGATGTGCTCTCCTCGAAACAGACACATGGATCCACTGCATTCTCGATGGCAATGATGCAGCAGCCGCAACAACAGCAGCAGCAGCAACAACAGCAGCAGCAGGCGCAACAACAGCAGCAGGCGCAACAACAGCAGCAGACGCAACAACAGCAGCAGGCGCAACAACAGCAGCAGGCGCAACAACAGCAGCAGGCGCAACAACAGCAGCAGGCGCAACAACAGCAGCAGGCGCAGCAACAGCAGCAGGCGCAGCAACAGCAGCAGGCGCAACAACAGCAGCAGACGCAACAACAGCAGCAGCCGCAACACAAGCAGCAGGCGCAACTGCAGCAGCAGGCGCAACTGCAGCAGCAGGCGCAACTGCAGCAGCAGGCGCAACTGCAGCAGCAGGCACAACAACAGCAGCAGGCGCAACAACCTCAGCAGCTTCAGCAACCTGCCTTACCGCCGGCAGCGATTGGCAGCAATCTACACCGGTCACAATATGGTAAGACGTCAAGGGCATCCTACCCTAGTGGATCCAGTGGCGCAGCAGTATACACTGATACGAGATCGCCGTACCATCGCTTTGGCCACAGACCGGTGCAGCAAGGTCACACATCATACTCTGGATCTTCGGTGAAGGCACTGTCGGGACACCAGAGCAGTGTGAGTAAACAGACACACACACACACGCACACACACACACACACACACACACACACACGCACACACACATGCACACACACACACACACACACACACACACACAAACACACACACACACACACACAAATACACACACACATGCACACACACACAAAACACACACACAATGCAGTATACAGCATGGCATTTGACCCTTGAGTCTCTTTGTGACCTTAATTTACCTCAACTCAAACTAGTCGGGGAGCCGAAGTCTGTAGGATGATTTTTATTTTCGGGGTATGCCACTTCAGAGGGATGACTTGAAACTTCGCACAGAGGTAGGTAAGGATCTCTAGAGGACGATTTCAGAACTTGGCCGTCCCGAAGCTGTGCACCAACGCCGGTGCGAGGAGGTTTGTTCGCTCGTCAACACTATTCCGTTGACGTGATTTCACCATTTTTGCGCCGTTCAGCGCTTGAAAATGGGGAAAATCAGCAGGTTTCGCTGACGTAACCAGACGTTTTCATGTGAATGACTCAACTTTGCTAGATTTTCAAGAGAAACACAAAGAAACACGAAGCGAAGCGTTAAGCGTAAAGTCACTCCGTCGATGAAGTATTCTATTTGTGTCGTTGTGAGTTGTGAAGTAATATAGCTGGTTCGAGTTCGTTGGAGGAGGACATGACTGGTGTTCCTGAAATTGTCGGACACAGCGGCTAGATGACTTGCCATTTGACCCTGATGGTGACAGGCAGGTCCCGTAGAAACTGTCTGTCTCAATCGAGGTGACTCCGAATTGTTTTTACCAATAGTGTTTTGTAGATTGATCATCACTTCAAACGATTTCATGCTAGTCGATGAGCGGATGGACAGCGTGTGTTAAAGGTGGTAAGGCACATACCATGGCACCTGCCTTGAACACAATATTTGATTATAGTACCAGTGAACGTAGTGTTGAATACGAGAAAGGACGACTGACGATATATTATTAAATGCAGGACATATTTTGAATAACGTCTCTTTTTATGTAGAAGTTAGTTCCGTATGCTGCACAATGACATGCTTACGTGGAAGCATTGACATTGTAGAAGATGTTATATTTCTCGCGCAACAACATTTTTTTCTCTTGCGAATATGGCATCTGATGTTTGCTCTTTTTGTTGCTGTTCTTTTTGCCTGACTTCTTCCGTCAGTTGTTTGTGTCTCACCAGTGTCCCCACCCTCCCACCGTTCATGTCTGCCCATCTTCATCCCTTTCTTTCTTGGCTGTAGATATGTTGTGCCTGTTTTTATGCTGCCATGTTGCCACTTGTGGTTATACACCCGGTTTTTCCCTCATTCATGCGTCCGTCGGCGTGAGAGGTTTTTCCCGGCTGGCTCGGTCCAGAGAAATTAATCTGACGGTCCCAAGTGGTGTTTGTCCTGGCCTATTTATGTTATTACAATGTACTCATTCTTTCCTCCTGGGGTCTGTCCCCCCCTGTTGTTGCTCCTAGTTTTCTTCTGCATTCCGGCTCACAACTGGCTGCGGCCTACTACCCTCACTCTGGGGAGCACCGGCTTTGCAAATGATAATGGGGAGAATTTGAGATTGAGATAGGACAAAACAATAGTAAAAGCAGTGCACCGTAGGAAGATGGAGAGAACTGATAATCGGATTTTAAGGCTGAGCGAAGGGGATCAAAGAGGGGTAGAAGGGAGCTGGAGTGCGGTCAGTATAATTAGGCTGGTGTGTTGACTGCGATGGAGAGATCATAGCCTGTGTCGTGATGTTGGTGTACATGGAGCGAGAACATGTGATGATTATTTCCCTACTTCATTCAGCTTCCCACGGAAGCAGAAAGGTGGTTCTTGACCAGGAAATTGTACGACACCTTGTTCTTGACCTGGCCGGTACGCGAACCCGTCGATTTTTTTCATTCAGCTTTTGTGTGGTGGATTGAGTACTAGTATGTCTAAATTTTAGCCATTTTCGCAAACGCAATCAGTGAATGTGGCGGTAACATGTAGAATGTGATCATTTTAAAACTACATCTATGGTGCATCATATTTATTTGAACAAAGGCTGAAAGCGGATATGTAAATAGTGTAACAGACGCGGTATGCATCGGCACCACCGCATACATCCAGGCAGGACGATGTAGCGCAATATCTGTGTTGAACGGTTTTTGTTCCCTTCATCAAGGAGAACAGTATCCATTGCTCATCCGGTTCGTGATCCTCTACTCTGTGCTGCCAGCGACGTCCGCTTGTTGCTCACATGTGTAGTGCTACTGAGCGGGTTGTCACATTCGGATATGCGTCGGCGAGTACCGTAAAAGCCCGTGATAAGGCCCTGGGCGGAAGCATTCGTGAAGGTCCAGAACATGGGCGTCAATTTGGGGCTGGGTGCTACTGATTGGGTTGTCACATTCGGACATGTATCGGCAAGTATAGTACAGGGTTGGGGTGACCTGTTGCACAAGAATCATCCAGTACTGTAACCTTTGGCCATGGCAACAGCCCATCCATACCTACTCTCCGCAGCATTGATGGTACGGAGCACGACACCAACCGCAGCAAAGCAGAGTGCATGGCCGAACACTTCACCAACAATTGCAGTCTAGTTAACTAGGGGCAGACGACCTATCCGCCCCATTTCCTTACGTCCGACCACGCACTAACCGCAACCTCTGCACTGTCCGGTTTCGCGAGACCACGGTTGCCCGAACCCTCCGGCAGCCCAACTCCACCAAGGCCACTGGTCCAGATGGGATACCTGCCTGCTTCTTAAAATCTTCCTCTGCAGAATTGGCACGACCGCTTTCAAAGCTATTTACATGCTGTCTTCGCTCTGGCACCCAGCCACAGCAGTGGAAGGTTGCAAACGTTGTTCCAGTCCACAAGCGCAAGTCAAAATCGTCGCCATGCAACTATCGACCAGTGTCACTACTGAGCATCCTCTCCAAGGTCATGGAGACTTTAGTCAACAGGGCAATCAGAAACTTCATGGAGACGAGCTACGTCCTGTCAGAACGCCAATTTGGCTTCCGTCGCGGCCACAGTGCCGCAGACCTGCTGACTGCTCTCCATTACCAGTGGGTGTACACCACATGAGATAATGGGGCTTCTCGAGTGCTGGCCATCGTCATTGCTGGAGCATTTGACTGCAAGGTTGTCACACACTGGTGTATTCCAGAAGGCTAGAGTGTATGGCATCTCGGGAAGCCTGCATCGGTGGCTCCAAGACTACCTCTGCAACTGCACACTTCAAGTCCTCATCTCCGGCGAGACATCAACCAGACGCCCAGTTAAGGCTGGGGTGCCACAGCGCAGTATCCTGGGCCCCACCTTATCCTTGGTCTACGTCAACGACCTCGAAGACCACCTCCCAATCGGCTCCAACCTCGCCTCATTCGCCGACGATACAATCCTATACACCGAAATCGCAACCAGCCCAGGACCACATGCCTCCCCCTCAGGCTGTACGACTATCCATCGCGCATCCCCATCAGATACAGAATGTTCTTCCTGCAAAACCTCGGAACAATGTGAGCCGAGCCTTTCCCCACTTCGTCATCCCCATTTGGAACCAGCTACCTGCCTCTACCATTCCCCACCCATTCCACCCAAAGAACATTCAACAGTTCAAGACAGCAGTTTACCACCATCTCCTCAGAACGAACTGGCACTGGGCCACTCATAGCATACGAGAGTAAGAGGGCACGGCGTCCTACCTGTGGGAACTGCGTCCCACGATACCAGAATACACTCTCAGTCTCACAGCTATCATAGAAAAAACACATTCTTGCTCATCAGTCTCTCAAACAACAACGACGACATTGTCACGTGCGCATGCGTAATATCCCGCATGCACACACTGACTCAGAACATAGTACAGTACTACACTACCCTGCTTGGACGTAATCTCTCCTCACAGACAGTCTCCCCTTGAATTTTAAAGACTAACAGTGTTCACGCAAATACTGAACTTATTCTTTAGCTCACTGAGCAATACAATCTTTTCATTCTCTTTCCTCTGTTTTCTTTTTCCACTTAATCCTGCCTACCCGATCCCCCTTTGATGCGTCCATGGAGCTATGAAGCCGAGACCTCTGGTCGGTTGAGCTTAGTGGGCCCCACCACCACACTCCATTATTCACCCCAGTGTCTGGAGATAATATGGATTTTGTAGAATAAAAAGAAGAAGAAAATGTCATGCTTTGAGAAAGTAAGCTTACAGCGTGGTCATCTTCTGCACAGGCGCATAGTCACTGATTTGTAGCGACCTCGCTGCATGACGTCAGCTCCCTCACTAGTTATACGCATGCGCATGAAACATTTCTTCGTTTTTGTTCTATAATTAACAATAACTATGCGACAAAGTTGCCCTCTCCTCGGAGTTGAAATTATTAGGCCCCAGGGTGGTATGTCCCGGGATTCATCTGTCTCCCCGTGAACAGGTACGACCTCTGCCATCCTGGGTGCCTAACGATTTGGAAGTTTGAGCGTGCCCACCTACTTCTCAAACCGAGAAGTTGACTGAGAACGAAAATGTTTGCGCCACAAATCCTTGAGAATTGTGAATTTGATCGTCTAACAAAATGCGTCCTCGCGAAGTCCGTGCTCAGCTTCGGGACGGCCAAGAGCTCGAAAGCCCTTCTCTGATAGGCCCATGACCCATTGCTGAAGAGATCTTGTACTCCATCTTGCCCGACACGGAGAGTCACATTCTTGAAGGTCGGCGCCCGGAAAAAACATTTAAAATACGGTCTCTTTGATGCATACGAAAACTAACAACTATTCAACAAAATTTTCAGGCATGGCAGATCATCAAGGTGAAACCAGTTTTGACTTTAGTATAACTAGGCATGCTACTACCACTAATATTACTGTGCATGACCTTTTATTGCTGGAGAAAGGTCAAAAGAGATTCAATAGTCTTAATTAAACGTTGAGCGGAAATCCCTAAGCTATGGTCTAGAAGTCTCCTTGTCAGTTCAACAAACAACCTTGATCCAGCATTGGATTATTCAAATTGTAGCAAAAGAAGGATCCACGAGCGGGATTCGAACCCAACATCCCTGTCTTTCCGCAACAGTGCCCTACCCATTAGGTGCTATGTGCATATGAACAGATCTTGCATTGATTCCGTCTCGGTTAGCGTTAAAGAACTTGGTTGGATGTGCTGGTTGGATTGAGAAGAGTTTGTAGATGTGTTGCAAAGGAGACTATAGCTAGGCATGTTTGTGTGTTTGGAATACTGGCCTATAGTAGCAGTACTCTTGTGCAAGTGAAAATCATTTCCCTTTTCGGGGTTTCTGAATCACTGTGCTCTTTTGCCGTGTCAGTGACGAATGCTGGCAATGTATTCTGCAATTTCATTGTGATATTTCTGATGATGTGCTCTACTTGAAGCAGACATGTGGATCCACTGCATCCTGGATACCAGTGGTGCCGCAACAACGGCAGCAACCGCAACAACAGCAGCAGCAGCCGCAACAACAGCAGCAGCCGCAACAACAGCAGCAGCCGCAACAACAGCAACAGCCACAACAACAGCAGCAGCCGCAACAACAGCAGCAGCAGCCGCAACAACAGCAGCAACCGCAACAACAGCAGCAACCGCAACAACAGCAGCAGCAGCCGCAACAACAGCAGCAGCCGCAACAACAGCAGCAGCAGCCGCAACAACAGCAGCAGCAACCGCAACAACAGCAGCAGCCGCAACAACAGCAACAGCCACAACAACAGCAGCAGCAGCCGCAACAACAGCAGCAGCAGCCGCAACAACAGCAGCAGCAACCGCAACAACAGCAGCAGCAGCCGCAACAACAGCAGCAGCAGCCGCAACAACAGCAGCAGCAGCCGCAACAACAGCAGCAACCGCAACAGCAGCAGCCGCCACAACAACAGCAGCAACAGCCACAACAACAGCAGCAACCGCAACAACAACAGCAGCCACAACAACAGCAACAGCCGCAGCAACAGGTACATGTGCAGTGCTAGTTTGGTCTGGGAATGAGAGTCATGTGTGATTCGTCCGTGGTCTGGTTGTCTTGGTCTTGGTCATGTGTTCTGTACATACTATTAGTCCCTGATTGGTCGTCCCGATTTGTCGTAGCAATATTACTGCTTGTTCTTGGTTGTTTCTTCGAGTCTTTTCCCTGGAGTCTTTCCCGTTGTCTTTTTGTCGTGTCCATTTTGGTCTTTCTTACCCGTTCTCTCGCCCACCAGTTTGTGAGTTAGTTATTCTCCGTGATAAATAACAGTGTAATATTCTTGCCGAACCTAATGAGTCGGAGAGTCGTTGTGTGGCGGGGAGCGGGGGAAATTCCACCACATATATACACACACATTTTCTACTTATTTTTACTAAGTCCACTATGCTCCCAAATAGATGCGGAAAGTGGTGGCGGGGCCCTGCTGCTCAGCCGACCCCGGTGGTCTCGGCGTCTGCACAGACAAAGCGCGCCAAGAAAAATAGAGAAGGACATAGGGGACATAAGAGAGAGAGAAAAGAAAAACAAGACGAGAGCAAGACATGTACACGGAAGTGCAGTGCACACGCATCCACTGCTGAAGGATAAAGATAAAGGATACATGTATGTTGGATAGGGAAATAGGGGTCAATCAGAACAGAGCTGAGGAAGTCAAAGCTACGTCAGTCACAAGAAGGGTGGACATAGTTTGAAGAGTTTAACATTTGTTTTGATGTTGTCACCCTGGAGAAAGGCAATCTGCGGCGCTATGTGCTTCAGTGTGACAGGGAGCTCCTGAAGGTGGCTGCGCCAATTCTGTGGCCACATCTGGATGTCGCAACGGACTTCTCATAGGTGGTGAAGTGTGGGCTTCAAGACGAACACCTCTTGGTGTGGACCCAGAAATCCTGGCATGGAAAGTTTGTTTGGCAAACGGAACAACCGACCAGCGAGAACACGTGGTGTTGTCCGACAAATGGCTGGTCTCAAGAAGACCACAGGAAGCCTGACCATTGCGGCACAAGACCAGGCTTTGGCTCCTTATCTGCTCCATGCCAAAATCTTTCCTGAGGGCAGAAGCCCGCAGTGTCGGATTTGTGGGAAGGCGGGGGTGTTGGTTGCTTTATCCTGTGCCATTGTTCAAAGCTCGCTAGACGGGATTACTTGGAGTGTTACAATCGGCTGGCCTCTTTGGTCCACTGGTTGCTCCGTTGTGTGTATGGGATATCATGTGAAGACAAGTGCTACAAGCACCATTGTGATCCGGTGATGGAGCATACCAAAACCGATGCCCCGAGGATGATTTGTCTGAAGCTAGGGATACTTCAGACTTCACGGGGGAGATGAAAAATACTTGAATATTCGATCGGAGAAAATCAGAGTACTCGACCTCGGGATCTCAGTGCCAACTTTCAACCCACCCAAGGATGATGTGTCTGAAGCTAGCGATACTTCAGACGTCAACGCCTCTCCACAGGATGTAGCGGAATCACAGCCATTCCGTTCCCCGGGACGCAGGACACATAGGACAAGACTGGTTTTTTTACATTATTTATATTGACAAGACGGAAAAGCGAACTGCAGAGACGAACAGGAAGACTGACAAAAGGACTCTCGATTACAAAATCTCGCATACTCGTATCACACGTACACGTGACTAGAAGAGACAGTTTGGCGAATGCCATCACACAGGAAAACAACACATCATTTTACAACACCGGCCAGAAGATCAAGATTCTCTGGGTATTCACCATCTATTTCTCTCCGTTTTTCTTCTTTTTTGCTGTTTTACTGCAAGTCTTATGCACAGATGATGACTGACACCGTGCTAGATGCATTGCGTGCCACTGACCCTCTCTTCTTAGACGACAGAACTCAGTTAATTCTAACGATGTTGCGTGGCGCCACGCTACGGGGAATAGGCTCCACTGGCAACACCGCGCAGTCTGATCCGAGCAGCACAGGAAGTAAGGCCGTTTGATGTATGCTGCTGTTGTCCAGGGTTGTGGTGGGATATGATTTTGACACGGCGAATGCGGAAGTCGGAATGCTGCTGGCATGCTGGTGTGCACAAACTGATTGTCTGGAAATTGTGAAATTACATTACCAAGTGCGTTTACTGGTGGTTCTTCTCTTGTGTTGACCGCAGTGGCTCAGATGGGAGCAGCTAATCTATCAGCAACAGCAGATACAGGCCTGCCATCGCAAGCACTGGTGAGTGAATGCGAGTCAAAGTGCGACTGTGAAACGCACGTCTGAAATGTGTATGGGTGATTCTATCATTCTATCAGTCGTTATCAGGGAGTAGTACAATACCGGGAGATGACACGGGCACACATCCAGGCGGGCGAGCTTTGCCTCAGGTCACTTTTCTGTGGAGCGCCTAGTCCCGGGAAACTTCACGAAATGTCGTACTTTGCGGACCATTTATCGTAGCATTTCGTAGCATTTTTCAAAAATTTTCATAGAACGACTTCAAGAGAGTGGCAGAATGCTGCCAAGAAGTTTTCGAGCAGTACTTTTTTAAGTTGGTTTTGACGATGTAGGGAAGGAACCCATCAGTCTTTGCTGAGTGATTAGGATGAATCCTACGAAGGATATCAAGTAGCAGCTGGCCTTCGCACGGGTACCTTCAGTGTGTCCAGTATTTACGTGGGCGGCTTGTAAGAGTGAATTATTCTTCCTAATTTAATTTGTATTACTTTTAGTTATTCACGTCGTTCTAGGGGAATAGATAAATGTAATGTTGACGCAAGTTTTAGTCACAATGAACAACATGTTTCAGGTATGGATGACCCGTATGGCTGACCCGTCTCAAGATAGTAAGGCTATTTCGAATCCAGATTCTATAGTCGTCGGAGTGAAACACAAAACGAGAGAGCTTGGAAGCTCAGGGCCCTACGCTATGCTTTTTTGCCTTGACCTAGACAAAAAGAGCATAGGGATGTTATAAATTCTTATAAACTTCTACTTTTTGTTTTAGACATAACCTGGGATTCGAACCGGCACTATCGCCCTGCAGGCATCCCCCGATACACTTCGCATACATACTAATTCCAAGTTGCTTCACGTTATGATCTTGTATTTGAAAGCCCTATTTGAATATGCATTGCGGCCAGCCGTCTTTGATTGTACGGTACGGTACGGGACAGGTACGGGACTAGTACGTGACAGGTACGGGACAGGCACGGTCGAGGGTAATACGACACCATGTACTGCCTTGATGACGGCTAAAAAAGAATAGGGATGTTATAAATTTTTAAATTCTCCTATTTTTTTCAGGCATTACCTGGGATTCGAACCCGCACTATCGCCCTACATGCATTCCCCCATACACTTTGCATTCATACTCATTCTTCCAAGTTGCTTCACGTTATGATCTTGCGTTTGAAAGCCCTATTTGAATATTGCGGCCAGCTGTATGTGGCCAGCTGTGTTTGATGGTACGGTACGGTACGGGACAGATACGGGATAGCGCCAGGCATGTCACAAACACACAAACAAATAACAACCAATTTAAAGCTGTGTGGACCCCGGCTAGCGCCAGACGTTACTGAAGTAACGTCTTCTGCATAGCTACGGGAATATAATAAATTTTATACTGCTGAGGCAGCTATTTGCAAATGTCACTATGACGCACGTCTGTGTCAAGCAGGGAGTAGCACAATGGTACACTGGTACTATGCTACTCCCTGCTACAAAGCCTGAGATGTCACGCGTTAACAGGAACTGGTGGTGATGATAAAGGCAGTGTGGAATAATGTACAATGTTACTGGTGCAAGTGACCATGGCGTGTAAGTCGTGTATGCAGGTAATCAGACCAAGCGTAAGAGGATAAAGATAGCCTGCTGACGTACTACTACTAGTACGTGTGCTTATTATAGATACTTTGTGTGACTACTAGTTGTATGTGTCTGCATATTACTATACGTAATAGTACGTAATTGCTTTTACTACAATTTGTACTTTGTGGGGAGCTGCGTGACGATGAAATGTGGCCACCAAGAGCGTACGCAATCAGAATTGTGCAATATCATTACGTAGAGGATATAACCCGAGTCAGAGGGTTATACCGGTTGAATATAAATCCCGACTGCGATAGCAGGAGGGATTTATATGAGGGTACGGTATAACCCGACTACGAGGGTCATATCCTACTTATGCCAGGTACCCCTACGCATTTCCAGAACAGCGAACCTATTTGGAGATCTCCTACATCATGCAGTACATGAACATCTTCTGATTACAGCTTGACTCTTTGGGAGTAAGTGTTACTATAATTATGGTACAGTGCTGATTTTCACATGCAGCATCTTACAATCAGTTTTGCTTACTACTTGCAAGTAGGTGCATTTGCATACACTGTTTTGTATCACTGTGTTACATTTCTATGCAATCTAGCATTTTCCAATCGGGTTGAAGTACACTCTGTATTATAAACTTAGTTACAAGGGAGACGTCTGTTGATGATCTTCAACTCTTCGAAGTACAATGTACATTGCTGACCCATTTGGGATACTTCGTGGTTATTCGACGTTCTTTATCCTCAGATTCAGTATAATAGAATACTCTGTAGACGAATTCCAGGTCATTCTTCTTTTCCATTGTGTACTGTTCCTCGTCAATGTGCCGTTCTGTGTGGAGTGTACACGTGCATGTGGCGTCTGTTGTGAATGGTCCGTGCGCTGGAGTACTGCCGCCGTACAAGTTCACTGCCTTTCAGGCAGTGGACATTTACGGTGGCAGTGCCCTAGCGTACGTACCGTGCACCGGGATTTATATTCGATATAAATCCCGCGCGGGATTTATACTGGCCAATATAACCATGGCTAGACGAACGCTGATTGACTAAAAACAGGCCCTCCGTACCGTACCACGGTATAATCCATGATTATAACCAATTTTACTTTTATGGCACCGTGGAGTCGTGTACAGCGTACAATGCCACAAGTCATCCCTGTGTTGCATTCATGTTATGCAAATAATCACCAGGGAGTACAAAAGGTGATCATGTCAAACACAAAAGGATAAAGACGAATAGTTGTATGTATGCGCACGTGCGTGCGCGTGTGTGGTGTACAAGTACAAGAGGGTGTGTGTACATGTATGTGTGTGGGTGTAATTGCAATTGGCGTTGGGCAGGCAGACTTCGCAGCCGCACCCAAGTCGTCGCTCTTCCTCTTCTGTCCACGGGTTCTGTGAGTTAAAAAAGCAACAAAGCAACCAGGCCTGGCCTCATTCAGTGCTGAAAACAAGTGATCTTGAACATTATGTTCAAATCTATACAACTAAATACGTTTCGAAATTTTCGGAATGAGTTTTCCAAAGTGTTGCAGTCTCTAAAACGTTGAGATGAAGTAGAATGGTAGACGAATAGGTATAGTTTCGAAATATCCCAGCTTGGTGGGGTGTTTGAGTGGGTCCAAATGAGAAACTCAGGTTTGTGTTACACCATGTCAAGATGAGAAAATTCCATCACGTTACTTACCTAGGATAGCGTCCTCCATGTTCGTCACCCCCATCCATTTTGGAGAGTCGTTACTTGGCGGCAGTGTGGATGATGTACCAGACTAGCTCCCAAAAAAGGCTCGAGCAGAAAAGAACAAGTGGCAGCTTGTCACGAAGGGATACGTCTGGTCTTCTCGTCACTATTCGAAGGTTTCTCAGCGCTGTCATAAGAGCAAATATTTGAATTTTCGCGCGGTTTGTGTTTTTTTTTTGTGAGGCAAAGCTCGTAACCCCAGATGTTTGCCCGTGTCATCTCCCGGTAATGTACTACTCCCTGGTCATTATAGTGGTACTGCTTGATGTATATAGTTTTCCCATGGCATATGTGACCTGTAGTTTATGTACTCCCGTACTAGATTTGTACCACAGTTGTATGACCTCGCACCATAACGCCATTAACCTCATGCTTTCTTGGCCTTCTTTGCCTCTTCAGTTGTTCTTCACTTCTCTTCAGATTTGTTTATATTTAATACCGTATTTCCTCGATTAATGTACCATGCTCGAATAATAGACCATGCTCAAATAGTAGACCCTCCTAGAGGCCTCACGGAAAAATAGTAGACCATGCCCGAATAAGAGACCCGGTCTCTTATTTGAGTTCATCGCTTTGCGCATGCGCACTAAGAAAGCACGCGGTGGATCAAAAAAGGACGCGATTTTAGGTTGCGCAACTACAATTTTTGTAGTGGCTAGTGCTTTCTTTCATTTTTTGAGCACGGTCCACTATATTTCCATCGGGAAATGGTGGATTTTTAACACGTCATAATATAGAACTTCTATATTATGACGTGTTAAAAATCCACCATTTCCAGCGATGTGCCGATGAAAATATAGTGGACCGTGCTCAAATAATGGACCATGCCCAAATAAGAGACCGGGGGTCCAACTCTCTTCAAAAAACAAAAGACCGGGTCTATTAATCGAGGAAATACGGTAATATCTTCTGGGCCACGCCGTTTTTTGTCTATGTTTCGCAACCCCGCGCGCATGTATTTCACAGCCGGAGATTAAAAAAATCGGAACATGATTGTCATGGTAACTATTATGTAAGTTGTCATCAATTGCTCTATTTATCACATCAATACAAAAGAGAAAGAGCAAGGACTACAAGTTATGCTATACTGTCCACTTACACCGACAGTTACTAAACAATCAGCTCATGCGATAACATTACACGGCACTGACCGACGGCACTGACGTTCTGCAACTAACTGGCTTACACTAACAGCTCTAAGTTGTCGTCATTTGTTCTATTTATCACATGATGGTACTCACCTCACATACATGTCCATGTACCTACGTGTGTAACGTGGGCTGCAAGTCACGCAATCATCATGCCTCCTGTGTTTGGACCACAAGCATGGCAAAGGTGTGGCTTCCCATCCAGCTGATAATGCTGAGACACTGTGGGCAGTTGTTACCAATCAGTAGAGTTTGGATTGTGCAATAAACTTACTTTGCGCAATAAACTTACTTTGCGCAATAAACTTACTTTGCGCCATTCATTGTGCATGTATAGAATTTTTTTCGGGGGTAACGGCCTCTTTTACGGGCAAAATAAAGTCATGTAGACGTGAAAAAATTGAGATACCATGAAAGGTAAAAAATAATAGAATTTTATTCAAGTACAATACATTGGGAAACTCCAAGAAATTCCACGTAAAACAGACGAAATTCAGCTCTCAATGGCCGATGCCTACCCCAG